GGTAGATGCAGTTAAAGACCTGGGTGTGTTAATCGATAAACACCTTTTCGTTTAACGACCATACAAGTGCCTTAGTATCAGACCTTTTTGGAAAAGTTCAATTAGCTCTAAGCTTTGCAGCCAGAATTTTATCTGGTAATAGGAAATTTGAGCACATAACTCCCACACTTAAACAACATAAATTCTTGCCAGTGTCAGTTCTTCTTAATTTCAGGGATGCTTTCTTATTGTATAAATCGACCAATGACCTAGCTCCAACATACCTAAAGCAGTTAGTTTTCAAGAGATCTGACATTCACAACAGACATACATATAACAGTGTCAAGCTCCAAGTTCCTAAATGCCGTACCGACCTTGCTCAGAACTCTTCTATGTATAGTATAGATCCACTACCTTCTGGAACTCGATGCCTAGTAACATTGATTTCGTAACTCGCCATCCCTTTCCCAGTTTATATCGTCACTAAAACATTTTTTTATTGGAAAAGTGGTTCGAGGCTGAATATGTTTTTATTCTTTTATAGCTGGATATTAATATTTCTTATCTACTGTAAAACAATATGGTAAAATTTTTATACCTTATTGTAATTTCAATTGTCTTATTGTAATTTTCATATACTTGTAAACTGATCCTGAAAACCCCTTTGTTGAAGAATCAGTAAAGTCATTTGTGTTTGTATTTGTACTTGCGTTATTCTGAGTTGGTAGCGCAAGCAAATAAATAAATACAATTTTGCACTGTGTCCAAATTAGTGTACAGTTCCTTTGAACTGAGGACTACTTGTTTGTTGATTGCCAGCTACTTAAACTCTTCAAAGTTGCTTTACTACCGACAACTTTAACCATTATATTTAAACTTTTGACCCGCCTAGCTACAGGCGTAAAACAAACCAAAACGCGAAAATGGCCTGGCAAGTTGTTATAAGAAAAATGTCAGAAGTGGGTCACCTTGCGAAAGGTGTGCCCGAGCTAAAACATACTTGTTTTTTAATACCTCAGGAGAATTGTGGGCATTTGTTCTGTACATCAGATGGCTGGTCATGTATGTCTAAAAACGCGCCTCCAGCTGACGGTACAACTTGTGGGCCTAGGAATGTGAGTGATATTTCCAATCAAACCTAACAAATGATAGCCCTTGTTATTAATTTTATTTGTAATTTTTATAAAATCTGGACACTGAACGACTAAGGCCTTTAAATAAAAACGATTATTGTAAGAAAAAATGAAGTGTAAAGAGCTGACACGATAACATCTTTTTAATTCGTTTTCCTGGTCATAACCTGGCTGGCGGCACAACTATAAACTAAAAAAAATGTGTTTTTCAGAGCCTCAAAACTCGCTTAGTTCCTTCCTCACGTTTTTCAAATTCAAACTCTCAATAACTGCCCTTTATTTTACTCCACCCACCCGTTAGGCTTCGACGTAGATTTCAAAGTGAGTAGAAAATCACCCATATCTTCTTGCCCAAAAAATTCACTTTTGGCAGATCTACCAATTTCCATTAACGAACCCTACCACGCGTATCCTGGTAATCTCTTTTAATCCCATCTAACACAACCAGAGATTCCCGGCTCAGGTTCCTATTAGCGTAATTAGCTAAATGAATCAACAGTTTCAAACATTAAACTGCAGAAGGTCAGCTTTCATTACGATTGCAATCATGTTCCAAATTCGAGATAATTTCAACTGCAGCTCAAGCATGACTATCAAGCGTAAGCATTCACCTTGATGAAATCATTTTAGTGTTTTTTTTCTGAATTGTATAGCAGTTTCAATTTTGAGAATCGTGATCGTGATGTCCTTTCATTAATTTAATACTTAATTCTTCCTTGCGCTATCTGAAAAAAAAAAAAAAGAATTTGACTGTTTTGATAGACAGATGACTCAGAGTCAAAAACTTACTTTTAAAATTTTCTAAGAAAAGAAAATTGGTTGTTGAATGGCGTAATGAATGTGGTGTCAGTAGTTTATTTTCAGCTTAATTCCATTCCATGGTTGTCGCCCATTTTATTCTAGTGGTGCATTAAAGGAGAGTGCGTTGATAATGGCAGAGCACCAATTGACGGAGGCTGGAGCAAATGGTCAGACTTCTCTTCGTGTAGTCGCACCTGTGGGGGAGGTGTACAGCACAGGACAAGAGCATGCACTAATCCAAAGTGAGTGGCACAATAGGCAGCTTAACTGAGAAACGACGAAGACGACGACGGCAACGAAAACGTTGTTAAAAAATGAATCTTCCTCCTTTCAAACTTTCCAGAAATATACTAAAAAATGTGATGTACGTGCAGAGCTGTGGTTTTGCCCATGAAACCAATTGTTTTAAGAGGCTGTCTTTGTCTTCTTTGTGGTTGCTTAGAAGGAAGAGAACAACGTTTTTTGGGGAGACTATATCAATAATAGCGATCATTGTGAAAGCACTACTTCTGGGATAGTATTCTACAGTAGACTCTAGTTTGATCGATACAATGGCTACAAATATGTCACTACGATCTTTTTTTTTTCAACTCATCAAAGCGTCATCACTCTTAAAACGCGTTTGTTTTCCTAGTAAAGTTTATGAGCACGCTCCAACAGGTATCAAAACAAAACTTTTCAAACTGTTTTTATTTTTCTGAACTTGGCTGTCTGTCTATAAATATCGTTTCTGTTATGTTTGTCTTCTCAGTCCACAAAACGGGGGCATGGACTGCGTGGGATCAGAACTGGGAGAATGGCGAACTTGCAACTTTATGGTATGACTATGATGAATTTGTCTCAAATGATGCACATCTGAAATTCCTACAGTGCATAACATAACGTCGAGACAAAAATTTGTACTAAACGTGCTTAGAGAGATTTTTTGGGTTCCATTTTCTAAGACTTATATGAATTTCATTAAAACCGGCGACTAAGAGCAGCTCAGTATAAATAAGCTAGACATTTTTGGGGAAAGGCGTTTTAGGCAAAGTTTACAAGACTATAAACTTATGGTGTACTTACTCTCTTGCTTAGCCATTTTCAGATGCATTTGAATTACCTGCAGCAAATATAATATATGTACTAGGGTCAGGAGCAGGAGATCCAAGAGAGTTCTAAAACTGCTTTACAAGGAGTAAGAGCCTAAGGGTCTCGCCTGAACTACTCACCTGCCGACTATACCTTTGAAAACACCCCTGTATCGCGAATATACCTCTGAGCGAATAAACCTTCTAATATATCTTTGAATTACCTTTGAATAGCGGGTCCCAATAAGCTGCCCCTAGTCTCCGAGAATGGCTGGTTGGTGACACGACGCTAGACAAATCCTTACAATGAATTAGCCTCCTATCTAAGATGGAAGGATAATACTACTCCTCATGCCATGCATGAAACCAGATTAAGCTTTGGTCATGGAATCCGACCATTAACCCTTTTTCTTTTTCCTGAACTAAGTGTCTTTACCTTGTGTGATTTACCAATCGTTTCAGTACAAGCTGATCTTATCTTTAGTTAGCAGGCCAAACTATAAACAGTTACCTATGAAATGTTCCTACCATTTAAATCCTCATTAGTAAACCTGAAGCTTGTTTCATGTTTTTTCTTAGCACTGTACCAACACGTCCATTTCTTACAGACAGGAACAGTGCATGGAGAGAAATGAAAATTATGTACCCTATTACCTACAATCAGGTAATTAACTGATGAAGTCAAGTTGGTGCCGTGGTGTATACGCTCATGTATAAACCTCCTTCCTGCAGACAGATTTGTTGCACGTGACGTGAACTGCTATGTTGGTGATCAAGAACTAAAGCGTTTCTCTCCTCGGAGAACACTACTTCCATGTAAACAGAAAAAACTAGTTGACTAAAAACTACTAACATGACGGTTTTTAGTCTAGTCCCCGGACATTCTCTTTTGCCTTGTTGTCGGCTCATAAGTTTGGGAAAAGGTAGTCGAGAGAACGCGTTTCCGGGGATCCTCTCTCGGTAACGTCACAGCTCACGGCAGAGTCCAGGTTTGACCGAGCCGACAACGCGTAGGGACTTAGATGGGCCACCTTGTCACGTGGCTGCGGACAAAGAATAACTTGTATTTCACTTTTAACTGTTTGTGGAAAATAAGAAGTTAGACGTATTATTCAACTAAAGTAGATAAAGACAAGCATATATAGTACCAATTCAAAAAAGTCCTGATTACCAGTACGTTAAAAATCGTGGTATTTAAACTGCTGATGAAAAAAATCAATCTGTTATGTATTATTTTTCTATTCATGTCTAGACCTATGCGGTCTTTGGTGTCGAATCGATTATACAGCGCGGAAGTTCGGTAATGTAATAGACGGAACCCGAGCAGCAGCATCTACAAATAACTTCGATATATGCATCCAAGGAAGACAAGAGGTCAGTGCATGTTTCTTAATACATTTTATACATAGTGTTTCTCTGGGCATGTCAATTTCCCACCTGCAGAACGTAAATATTATTACAGTTATAATTTTAAAGTGTTTAATTTCTTCTTTATTCTATAATTTTTTAATACTTCGTCTTTATCAACCTTACTTAATGCTGTCAGCAATATATGACTTTTATTTAGGGCAGTATTTTTACGACATAACTATGATATTTACCCTCTAAAGTACACGCCTACTAAGAAATTATTACCGTCCCCAAACGTTCCCCAAAACAGCTTTATTTATCTCAAATTCAACTTCAATGTCTTACACTTTATTTTGAAACTCTCCCTTGTTACAGCAGCCCAAGTGTTAGGTACAGACTAGACAATAGTAGTATAGTATGCATGGTCCCAATTAACCCCATTTGTGCAGAAATATAATTTAATTGCGCAGCATTAATACATTTCGCCGATGACGTCAGACCGGTGATAAGTTTCTCATTACGATGACGTCACATTCTTCTCTTCTGATACCCCGTTATGCAGGGCATAAATTCAATCTACCATGACTTAGGCTATGTTCATACTATAGCGGATAGCCTTTCGTTCCGACAGGAAAAGCCACAGAACTTGTCACAGAACTGGTACAAGTCGTCCACACACATCGAAAATTGTGCCGGAGCGGTTGCCCGTGAGGGTTTGGTTCTAGAAATCCCAATCCTCACACCTGAATATTTGACTTCCGTGGCATTGGTTCAGTCCTTTTTGCCCACTCATTCACTTTTATGTCGGTCCGAATACTTGTTCATTTTGCACCAAAGTGTGGTACAGAACGTATCCGATATATGTCACGCTCCACTCTCGAGATCTTCACGGCGCTGTTTCTGTATGTTACAGAAATCGCGCGGAAGTCACCAGAAGCCCTAACTATCCGATGTTATTTTCGTGCCGGCGCAAAAAGTATCCGGTATAGTGCAAACGTAACCTAAAGCCTTAGTCACCAATGATAACATCGTCAGATGGCATCACTTGATTACAAAAGGAAAATAGACAACAAATCTGGTGGGAGAACGCGTTTCGAAAGAATTTTCCACCTGGGGCAGAAACAGCTTGATAACAATTACAACAAAAACGTACTACAGTCGACTTGATAATAGTCTCATCCAGCCTATGAGAATTAGTATTTGTCACTTGCAACGAAGACACNAACTATCCGATGTTATTTTCGTGCCGGCGCAAAAAGTATCCGGTATAGTGCAAACGTAACCTAAAGCCTTAGTCACCAATGATAACATCGTCAGATGGCATCACTTGATTACAAAAGGAAAATAGACAACAAATCTGGTGGGAGAACGCGTTTCGAAAGAATTTTCCACCTGGGGCAGAAACAGCTTGATAACAATTACAACAAAAACGTACTACAGTCGACTTGATAATAGTCTCATCCAGCCTATGAGAATTAGTATTTGTCACTTGCAACGAAGACACGTCTGATAGCGACAACGCACCCTACCGAAGCAGTCTCTTTTAATATCCATATTGTACTAACAGTGGCAACAAAACCAGCTCCACATTTTAATTTAATTCCATTGTATATCTAGGCAGTGGGTTGTGATCACTTGCTGAATTCAAACAAGGTGATTGACCGATGCGGTGTGTGCGGTGGCAAAGCAGACTCGTGCATTGATGAAACTGCAGATTTCACGGAGCAGATAGCCAGTAAGTTTAACCAGAGTGTAGGTAATGGCGTAATTATGTTTTTTTTTTATACAATATCAAAAAAATGTTAATATGCGGTACTGACTTTACAATCATACAGAACTCGCACATTTGGCAAATTCAGCGAATAGCTGATAATGTAAGGGAAAAAGTTGCTCACGCGCATGCCCCCAGCAAAAAACGTCTGTCTGAAAGCAATCTCTTTGGAACAACGATTGCTTTTAGCGATAAAACGCCGCTTGTTAGTTCGTAAGTCAAGAATAGATTCTGATTTTGACTTTAGTGAGCTTTTTCAATGCCGCCAAGAAAAAATATCAGTTGATCTGTTCTATAATGACAATAATGATTTTATGATTATGATTATTTATTTATTTTTTTTACAGATGCCGGGGAATCAGCTTTAATAAAGAAAATACCACCAGGTACAACTTACGCCCACTTTCGGAAAAGGAGTGGAGCTACCTCCAATGTAATAGGTAAGAATAAAATCTTGTTCTAGGTCAAAATAACATTCTCTTATCAAAGGGTCGAGACAAAATTTTAATCGTTGAAGAACAGCGACCTCTTGCCGGCAAATATTACGGCAAGCAATGGACCTCATTGCCAGTCTTAACAATAACAATTGTTATAGCTAGAATTTTTTTTTCGACAGCGTGCGCTCTCATTGGTTTCTTCGAGGTCACATAACACCTAACAATGAAACTGTCTCCCGCCAAAATCTCTGAGCGGGAAACATTGCAAAATCTATGACGTAAGTGGGTAACCGTGCAATGTTACCCGCGAATGTTGACCGACGACGCAGTTACAAAGAGGTTTAATCAATTTCCAGCTAATATATATCACAAATCACTTAAAGACTGGTTCCTTGAGAAACAGTTAATTTTGATTCCCGCGAACCTCTTGAGATTCTCCGGAAACAAAATGAACTGTCTCCCGAGGGACCAGTGTTTGATTATGACCTGTTTCCCAGGACAAGCTACTGAGGTTTATATAATGTATAGTAACTAAGTTAGGCCATAACTCGGAGACAACAAATTCATCTTGCCCATTATATCTGAATCATCATTTCCCTCTGTCACACCTCCTTTTCTCTCTTTCCTTACCTTGTTTTTCGCGATTTCCTTCCGCTAATAACAGCCAAGCCTTACCAAGTCATTAATTGGTTGTTACACTCGCAGGCTGCGGGTGGCCTTGAATGTTTCCCGGTAAAGCTACACTTCCAATGAATATCTTCATGGAGATTTGCAGCAAGAAAGATGAGGCTCGCTGGGCATTGCCAAAGACATCCTGCCTCCCAGCACACAAACTCATCCTTTGAGAGCCAACCCACGGCCATAGAAGTAGAGGACGATCAAAATCAACACTAGCTGATATCTTAAAGCGAGACGCTGATTTAGACTCTAGTCAGGAGTTAGAGGCAGATACACGAGAGTTTAGATAATCTTGTCAAGGCTCGGCTGAGGCCGACTTAGTAGTAGTAATAACAGAGAATTTCTTGTCGAATATAGGTATTCAGGATGTGTATGAGAACTACCTCATCAACGTACCTGATGTTTTTACTACAACGATTACCTACGCTGGAGCTACAATATTCTACAAGCACACAAAAGCAAGATACCAGGACATACTGGAGATAAGTGGACAGACCACAGAGACGCTGAAAGTTGTGGTATTATTCCAACAAAAGTTCTACTTATGTTATAAATTGAGAGGCAATTCCAAGCACATTTCCTAATTTGGAGGAATTATACTCTTTCGGACTAGCTTTGAAAAAACTCGTCTTTTTTCAACAAGATCTTTAATAATCGTTAATAATCTACTTTTAATTTGTTTCTAGCTTCTTCGAGTACTTGAAGAAACTGAAGGTGTAGACTATACAGTACAAAGACCTTTACAGCCTGGTGAATCTGCCCCAGTTCTTAATTATACTTGGAGCATTATAAATGACTGGTCCGTATGTCCAGTATCGTGTGCTGGAGGTAAAAATTACCGTTTTTTTTTTCTTAGTCACATCTTGTGAGGAAAATTTGGTGATATTAAATTTGCTTGACCCATTGGCTGTCGTACCGGCCAAAACCCACCGTACAAGACCACACTGCTTTAAAACATTGCAACTTTCTCAATCGCACGAACGTTGCCTTAATTGTCAGTTGTGAGCATTGCGTAGAAAGTCCTTCAAATTTTGTTACCCAGTAAACGCAAAAATTCAGCGCTTTTTGCAAAATATCTTCTTTTGAATTTGGACAAGAACAAAAATGCTTCTTTTTGTTGCAGGTGTTCAAAAGCGTGATGTGCACTGCATTCTAACTGAAGACGGTTCCACAGCATCAGACGATGCTTGTGAACTTCTTACTAAGCCCGCAACCACTCAAGAGTGCAACAATCAAGCTTGCGAACCCAAGTATTCTTACTTACTTATTCGTAATTTAAAAGCAAAATCTAGGTTTCAATAATGGAAAGCACAAACAAAACTTTTCTGTTCAAAGAATTATACAATGATAGTTCGAGAACAAAATCTGCGACAAATTTGTTTTTTAAAAATGAAAAGATGATTACATGTAATCTATGAATATCTGCACATTACACTATTGAGACTTATGTCTTGTAAATGGATAACATCTTCTATTCTTTTGCGCCAGGTTCAATAAGAACATGGCTCTTTTCCTTTTTATTGACCGTGTTCCGGAATGAGAATATTAGTAACCAGTTTCTTTCAAATCTCCTCTGCCGCAAAATTTTTTGACAGCTTGAATTAACATCTTAACATGTTAATTCAACCTGGTTTCCTTTATGTTACGATGAAATAAACGCCAAAACAGTTAAGTAATTTCTAGAGTTTATTCCATTTACTCTTTTTTCTTCTTCTTCTTCTTCCTCTCCTTTTTTTCTGGGGGCGGGGTACGTTGGGTAAATTACACATAGCTAGCATTAAGTATAACTACAAGACCTGTTCATTTACAGATGGCACACAACAGACTGGACATCTTGTTCAAAGACTTGCGGCTTAGGAACACGAACTCGACGTGTCGTCTGCCAACAGCAAGTATCAACCACGGCAACTGTCGAAGTGTCAGAGTCAGCTTGTCTAGCAGAGGATAAGCCGCTTGTGGATCTTGACAGTGAATCTTGTGCTGCGTGGCCTTGTCCTCCTGATTGGACCGTTGCATCAGAATGGTCTTCGGTAAGAAGCTCCGACAATCAGAGAAGACCGAGCTAGGTTGAGTCTGTTTATCAATAACATGCGCCATTCAGATGAGATTAATATTGAGTTGTTCTTTCTTGTAAAATGTTTATTGTCGTGTACAGGGTATATAATTTTGACCTGTAAATCTATTTAATATGAAATCGCACGGTGAAGTAGAAAGTTTTCTNTGGACCGTTGCATCAGAATGGTCTTCGGTAAGAAGCTCCGACAATCAGAGAAGACCGAGCTAGGTTGAGTCTGTTTATCAATAACATGCGCCATTCAGATGAGATTAATATTGAGTTGTTCTTTCTTGTAAAATGTTTATTGTCGTGTACAGGGTATATAATTTTGACCTGTAAATCTATTTAATATGAAATCGCACGGTGAAGTAGAAAGTTTTCTGTGGTGCTAGATTTTGAGTGTGTATGAAATTCCGAGGTGGGTTCATTCAAATGGGAGATTCTAACTGGGATTCATTTTTAATTTGTAATATTAATGATTGCACTGTACCGAACGAAGTTGTTCGAAAAATTTTTCGTTAAAAACCATTGCACGGTGGGTTGTTGGGTACGCCTTATTATGCTGTCTACTATGGCCATTGTAACATAGTGGCATAATTTGTACGTTTTTGAAAACAATAGGCAGATAATTCGTGAGTGTTAGGTCTATTTCTAAGAACTGTTAAACTTGTCTACGTAATAACCGGAACTGATGCGCAGGGCATTGCTTTATTCATTTCTTAAGTGTTCAACTTCATGTGGGCCAGGTGTTATGACACGGAAAGTGGAGTGTAAATTAACACAGGCAGATGGATCGAGTACAGTGATTCCAAGTATAGCATGCGCATACCGGTTGAACAAGCCACTCTCTGAAATAACGTGTCATGAGAACATAACATGCAATAATGAAGGTGAGAAAGACATTACTTATTGGTTTATAACAGTTTACGTGTACAGGCCAGGTGTACAACACAGCCTTTCAAGCTGTTTGGATTAACTCTTGATGAATTACCTTTGGGTACCAGATATCTGTGAAAATGAAAAAGTTGAAGAGTTTATAGTTCATTCACTTTTAAGATGGTTCAGGTTAAGTTAATTCCAAACAAACAGAACTAGGTTTTCGCCTTTAAAGTGCCCATCACCTAAATTTTTTTTATTTTCTTATCTGAAACTTTACCTTATTAAAATAACTTCTGCGAAAAAATTTTGCTGTTTCGAAAAAACGCGATTTTTTAACCAATTTTTGAAGTCTACATTTTTGCGGTACACCCGCGACGCTGGTCACGCAAACTAGCAGGCTCACATATGACGTCATGTGACGTAAATTAAGGAACTCGCATTACCTTGCCTTCATCAGCTGTACACAGAAAAAATCAATTACAAGTAAGGATTGAATCACAATGTCTTCGCAAGAAGAAAGTTTTTCTGAAACAGAAAAACCTACCAGAACTCTTGAAAATGTTTTCCTGTCGATTAAGTCACGTGTTCCTTAAAGCACGTCATATTTAACAATTATTCGCCGAAGGCGAAGTTAATATTGTTGAATAATCCCCGAGACGAAGTCGAGGGGATTATTCAACAATATTAACTGAGCCTGAGATGAATAATTGTTTTAGTATATTCACACGAAGTGATCTCAACAGAATCAGAAAGGAAACCATTAAAAAACCATTAGTTTGATTGACGGGTGAAAATTCATGCGTGAACACGAAGCCGTAAACAGTGGATGCGCAAAAGTTAGATCTTTACAGTATCTTCAAACATGGCAAATGATAGTTTTAATCCTTTTGTATCGAGTTTTGTAAGCTTTAGCATCAACGGTTTAAAAGAAAACGCCGAAAATTTAAATTACTACCCAATTCTGAGAAGAAAAGTATCTAGAGCTTTATTTGT